TGAAATATCGCGATATTTCAGTGTAACGATATTTTCTTACACCCCGAGCGTTGACAGAGAGGAGAAGGTAGAAATGACTCAGCCTGGAACTGAAAATATGGATGGAGGACAACAGTTTAGCTTGTTTGTCGCGCTAGCGCGACAAACAAGCTAAACTGTTGTCCTCCATCCACTCAGTATTTTATATATAAGCGGTTCTGATTGTGTATTCAGAGCGATGATGTGATCAGAGGACATGATGACATCAGGGCTGAGGCCCGGCAGGACGCTGTGACCACAAACCACCACAAACACAGTCAGGGAGCAGCTTCCTGATGGACAGACTGACAAACACACACAGACACAAAAATACTTCACCACAAAGAAAACAAGACCCACAACTCAGAGCGGCGGTTCTGAATCCTCACGGGTCCGTCCCAGCCCAACACAAACTAAATATTTAGCCTCAAACGGCTCGCAGTTTGGATGTTTGCTTCTTGTTTTTCCTGACTGCGCTCCGACGGGCCGCCCTCTGCTGCGTCTGGAAGAAAAGTCCAGGAAAACCCAGCGGGACCGGGTCAGCGCCGCGAGCAGCCGGGCGGCTCGCCTGTTTTTACTGCAAATTCTTTTCAATCAGGACGGCCTGGAGGAGCGACAACGAGAGGCCGTCTGGATCAAATGTTATTGTAGAGAGGAGAGCTGCTCTGACCGCAGGAGGCCACTTCAACATGAGGAGGTTCTGGACAGTTCTAGAACCAGCTTCAACATGAGGAGGTTCTGGACAGTTCTAGTACCAGCTTCAACATGAGGAGGTTCTGGACAGTTCTAGTACCGGCTCCAGCAATGATGTTAAACTTTTCTTGAAGATGAACTACATCAGACCTGTGAGGGTCAGACCTGTGAGGGTCAGATCTGAGGGTCAGATCTGTGAGGGTCAGATCTGTGAGGGTCAGACCTGTGAGGGTCAGATCTGTGAGGGTCAGATCTGTGAGGGTCAGATCTGTGAGGGTCAGATCTACAACCGTTGTGTGAAAAGTGGCGTACACCAGCTTTATAAACCAGACTCCTGACCTGTAAATGAAACTTTCTCTGACAGAAGCCTGGTCGCTGCAGGTCCAGAGGAGACCAGCCCAGCAGGAACAGAGGTGTCCTGATGTTTGTCACAGAGCTGCAGAGGAGGAACTGTTCCTCAGATCCACTCGTCTGGATGTTAAATACTGCAGAACCATTAAATCCTCCACAGTTTAACCCAAACATCAGAGCACGTGTCTCAATTTAAACAGATCCGTCCTGAACAGCATGGACAACATGACAGCAGCCCCCTGATTGGCTATAGGACACGCATCACTTCCTGTTTCTGGGAGCGTCAGTTTAACGGGAGTTTTAATGAGAACTGTGTGCAGCATCAATAGACCTAATGACCGGTTGCACCCGGGCAGCCGATAACTCGCCCATGGTTAGAGGCAGGTTGTCGGATCAGTGGTTCTGCAGGACTGAGGAGCTTCAAAGGCTGCTCAGAGGTAGCATTAGCCACTGATATAAATTACTGGACTGGGCGTGGCTAACGCGTTGCTACATGTACGAGCACTCACTGGAGCTCTGCTGCACCGAGGAGCCTCAACAACATGACTGGAGCTCAGTGGACTGTGAGCTGTCTTCCTGATGAAAAACTCTTATAACTTCATTATTTCTTGATCAATTTTTACAAACTATGGTTCAAAATAAAGC